TGCTGGCAATCTCATCTTTTGATACAAGCCTAGCAACTGAAGCGAAAAGCTCGAGTGCGACCTTGAACTCAAGTTCCTTGATCTTCTCTCTGACGAGCTCTCTAATTCGAGGCCGGTGCTCAATTGTGGCTGGCGCGGAAACTTTTGGCATTGCCGGCACGGAAAACTTTTGGGAAGTGGCTGGAATAATTTCCCAAACGTTGCCTACGAGCTTTGCAGTTGCAGGAGGGCGTTGAGTTGCCTCAAGCCGGGCCGGTGAAGACTTCTTCTTTTTGCCCTTGCTGCCAGACGAAGATGCTGGCTTTTCCTCCTGCTCCTTGGCTGCTTTCTTTGCTTCTTCCTCGATGATCAACTTCCTATCTTGGGGTCCTAACATCTTCCACAATTCTGAGTCGATCCCCTCCGGACGCTTTGAACCTTTATAGTTACGTACAATCCGGTGACCATCCCAATGATGTCCATCTGGAATTATTTCACCTTTAGGGGTCAATTTGAGATCTGGAAATACGGGCGCTTCAGGTGCATCAGGCTCGACATCGCTGTCGGCTGGTAGAGGCGTACCTGGCTCGTATTCATACTCATCTTGTGGCGGATGCAACCTGGACTCAAGAGGCACAGCTTTGGGTGTCTGCGGAATGACCTGGTCCTCGAGGCGATCGGCTTTGGGTGCTTTCGAGTCAATCAGAGCTTTCAAAGGAAAGATGAAACCCTCGGATGGCAATTCCAACCTCTTTGTTCTTTGGATTGTCAGTGCACCCCAGTTGACATGATAGTCTGCCGCTTCCAACTTGGCAACTAAGTATTCACCCTTCCAATCATGACCTGGTTGGATGTAATACCCAAGGAAAATTCCTTCGTTTGCTGTTGGGGAGAGCTTACCTGATGTGTTATCCAACCTCTTGGGGTTATTCCAGAATAACACTTTGGCACCAAATGGAATGTGCATTGCAGGGAACTCTTCACCAAACCTGAGTTGCCATGGGGATTCACTGCCGTCAAGCTGGGGGCTTGCGTTGATCGCGGTCGCATGATGCTGCATGGCCAATGGCCACATCTTCAAAGGAAGTCCTGATTGCAACAAGTTGCTCCGGGCACCTTCCAACATCTGACGAACTTCGCGCTCAGCAAAAGACTTTGATGAATCTACATATTCAATGGAAGTTTGGTGTCTGTAACCCAAATCCTTGATGGCCCTGATCAATTCTGGGGAATTGTCAGTGTACACAACTTGAACATCATCCTTTGATCCAATGAAGTGATTCAAACCATCAACACAGCTTTGTGAGTCCTTGGACTGGCTAGGGTAGACATACCGATATTGGGTGTGCAGATCTTTCAACACCAATGCGACTTGCTCCCCCCTGAAACCCTCTTCTACGTTTTTCTTGATGATGACATGATCCCCAATGACATGGTCACCGAACACCTCAGTTTCGATTCTCTTCTGACCACCTTTCTTTCGTGCCTGAGGTGCCATCATCCTTGCTCGTTGGCAGGTTCTGCAAAAGGGGTTCTTGGGGAAATGCGTGTATTGATGTTGGGTACTTGCAGCTTCAGCCAATAGATCCTCAGTCTTGCGGCTTCGGATGTACTCCTGCTGAGCGTCATCCTCCACATGCTCATCCAATTGCTCTTCATCTTGGGCTTCGTCCCGTTTGGCTTTTGAGCTCGACCGTGAGGTCGGCATTGCAAACAACTTTCTGAGGTGCTTATCCTTTTGAAATTGATCTTTGGGATAAACCTTGCAACTATCATCCAAAACTGGGACGTGACCTTCGATCTTGAGCTGGACGACCTTGTCATCTGGACGGACTAGGATTGGTTTGCCATTGGCAGGCCATACGAAACTGTAACCCTGATCTACACATCTCGTTCCTACGGAGAGCACAGCTGGGGTATGATCAAGTACATATGGGTGCACGGGATCTGGCAATGCGGACAACTTGACATCAGCAACCTCGTTTGCCTCGGTCGAACCATTGGCTGTGACTAAGGAAATCGGATGCTCGGCTGCACGGCAGTTCTTGGCACTGACATCCCTCAGCATTCCTTTGGACACAAGATCGGATTCACTACCTGAGTCGACAAGCCAACTAACACCGGCCTTTGGCGCGGCTGTGGCAATTGACGGGAATCGACCAATGTCTCTAAGGGCTTTGGGACCGCTAATGAACCTGCACTCTTTGCATGTGATGTCACGTGTGTCCTCATTCCAACAACAAAACCCACAACTAGGTGCAACATCTGAATCATGAAGTTTCACAGTTTCTTGAAGCTGTCTTGCACGAACCCGAGCCTCATGTTGTTCAACCTTGGATGAAACCGGAACATCTTCAGCTGTCTTGTACACCTCAGTGAACTCTCTTGGACGGTGCTTGACTGGGACTTGACGACCAACTGCTTTCACCTCGATCACATGTGGGGCCTTTCGGAATCTGAGGCGCTTCATGCTGACACTTGACTCATCGGAGCACGAAGTTGCCTTCGGCTGTTTTCGCACGATGCATGCAAACTTCTGGATCAAGCATGGAGCGGCTGTGGAATCCTTGCTCTTCTTTTTGGGAGCGGGTGAATTGGCCCTTTTGGTGTCTTTAGTGGCGGCAGCAGCTTTGTCATCATGCTTATAAAAACATTTGTCACCACGTCTGCACTTTCCCTGGGCATGATAGATACATGGGGTTTTGGCCATTTCTTCCTTGGACATTTTCTTCCCCTTATCATCTTTGTTGCCCCTTGATGGTGAACGTGTTTTGGTTCTTCTGGGTGATTGAGTTCGAGATTTGTCATCCTTGACATGCTTAAATGGACATTTCTTCCCCTTATCACAGGTACCCTTTTGGAACTTATAGCAAATCTTGTCACCTTTGCCACCTCGTTCCTGCGATCTACCACGACTTGGGGAACCCTTTCGGCCACCGCGACCATCGCCTTTGGCGGGTGCGGCCTTCGTGTCCTTGATCCCAGCCTTGTTCTTCTCCGCGATGCGGTTCCTGTTCTCCCTCAATCGTTCGCGATCGATCAAGTTCTTCATGGATTGGTGAAGAAAACTATAAGACTTTTCATGGGATTTCTCATGAGCACGGTCAAACATCTCAATGTCATACTTCAGCAACTGACTTGGTCGGATCTGCCTCAACAAGATGTCCCTTAACACAGCATCATCGGGGGTGACAGCCATGCCAGCTAGGGTAGCATCCCATTTGTTGATGAATCTTCGGAGATCCTGGACAGTATCGCCTACTTTGACAACACCCAAAAGATCTTCTACTCTGTAAAGGCTACCTGCTTCTTCTGATGTCTTGAAGTAGTCCTCAAACATGAGCAGAACATACCTTCCCCTTACCTGGATGCCTTTTTGGGATTGCTGCTCCTTGAAATTCAAGATCCTAGTTGCGAGGTCCCCTCCGGCTGAGCGCGTGAGCGCTGCTGATAACTTTGTATCCAGCGTGAGGAACTTTCCAGGATCTTGGAGTTTCTTCTCCAACTGCTCTCTGGTGCACTCTTGATCGTACACCTCATTGAGCCAGAGCCACGGGCGATCTGAACAGCTTTTCACTTCATCCCTGACATGATTCTTCCAAGTCCTATACGACTCCGGAGCGGGCATGTTGTTCAGCTTGATGAGTTCGGCCTCCTTAGTTTTTGGCTTATCCTTTTCTTCCCTTTGGGTTAAGGCTTTCACCAATTCAATAAGATCTGAGGGACCCATAACTTGCTGTTGCTTGGTTACGCTCTTGGGGGAGTCATTTGGGGGAGTTTTGATAGCTTCAGTGGGAGTGAAAAACCCTGACTGCGTTGGCAATTGAGGCTGGTCGTTGCCGACAGCCGGCTTTTGCTTGGGACTGCCACCTTTGAGCAGCTCATCCAACTTGGCCTTTGCTTCTTGCGCCAACACTGCAGGCGTCTTCAACTCATGAATCGGCTCGTCACTGCCTTTGGCAGCCTGTGCATCGGATGCTTTGGGAGTGGCAATATTGAAGTGGGGCACGCTAGTGGTAGCGGCTGGCTCGGCATTCAGGGCGGATGCTCTCGGAACGGAGGCATGCTGCGCTTTGGCAACATGCTTTAACTGCTCCTGAAGGTCATCGATTTGGTCCTGAAGGCTAAGGTTCTGAGCCGCTGCCTCATTGATCTTGTCGGCCATCTCCTTCTTGTAGTTCTCGAACTCGGTCCTCAAACTGATGAACCTGGCCTGATCAATTGCAGCCTGATCTTCATATTGCTTCTTTGTGGCAGCTATGGCATTCTTTGCATGTTCAACTGTCTGTGCATAAGAAGCTTCGAATTCACTAGTGATACGTTGCCTTTCCTCTGCAATTTTCTGATCATGCTTTGTGTTTGCCTCTGCCTTTACATCCTCTATTCTTTTGTCATTCGATGCCTGAACCTGATTCAACCTGACCTCCATCTCGTCGCCTCGTTTCCTCTCCTCGTTGACGGCACTAATGGCCTTACCTTCAATCTCCTGCAGCCTTTGCTCATACTCCTGCTCCTGCATTACGAGTCTACTTGACCATTCGTTTCGAATTGAGTCAACTACTCCATGCATTATCTGAAGGTGCCTCTGTTCAGCTTCCCTCATGACTTGCAGGGTATTCCCACTAGTAATCTGGGACAGGTTGTTTTGTATGAAGGTAAAGTACGCAACAACGGGTTGGAACATTGTTTCGTCATCCATCGGCTCGGGGTTGCCCCCGGCCATATTAGGCACAGCGACAGCCGATGGACCTGACCCTGGAACGGCGAGAGGATGGTCAATTGGGGTCCCCATAGCAAAGTAGTGAGACTACGGCTGATAACCTGTATTTTACCAGGTCAGCCAACAATATAGTACAATTACTATATGGGGGCGCAACAAACCGGTAAGCACTCAGCTCTTTTGAACCAACGCTACAGAGTAGATCGATGATATATACACTACATGGTTTTACTGCAGGAGTTTTTACAGAAAACAAACAATTGTATGGATCCACTTGGTGATCTTGGTGGCATTCAGACTTTGGCCTGAGGCATCTGTCCAAGAAAGTAGATCCTAGTGGTGGTGTAGACCTTGGCCAAGCAAAAAAAACAAAACACTCAGCACAGCCGGCACGGGCACCGTTGCATCAACTGCGGTCAAAAGGCTGTTGGCATGGCAGCTTTCAGCAGCAGCGCCGCATACAGCCGCCAGTTCAAGGCGCGAAAAGATGGAACCACACACCCACTCCTCCTGCGCGACAACATCCACTTCAGACTGCATGATAAGAGGACCTGAGAAAGACATGGCATCCTTCCAAGCCAACAAAAGATGTTCGGCCATCGTTGCACCCTGACCTTTGGCCATTTGCCACGCGGTGGCCCCAGACAGCTCCGAGGATTGCCACAGATGCCCCAGTTCTGCAGGAATGGCCTATCAAGTGATGGATCTGGTGCCAACTAAGAAAGCTCATCCGGGCGGTTCCAACAAATCAAAACTCATCAAAATCAAATGATCCAAATGAACTGCCGATCATGACAAATCGGTCAGTTCTCCAGCAGCGTTTCGTCACCAGTCGACTTTGCCTTTTGTTTGTGGATCTGCTGCAACTCGAGGCATCGGTTTTGCAAACGCAGGCTGCAGCTGCCACGGCTGATACCTATGCGAGCACTGTCAATGAGTCAATGGCACTTTGCAAGCCACCCCAACTGTAGGATACGATAAGCACAATGATCTACCAAATGCCGCAACTCACACAGATCAACACGCGAAGAACCCAGAGGTGAGGATGGCAAATATCTGCAAAGAAATTTCTGGGAAGATCGAAAAAACATTCCCTTTGAACCTGAGACTCAAACACTGCACGCGCGCCCAATGACATCATTGTGGGTGCGACCGTATGACGCCGCACTTGATCCACATATTGTCACAATTATTATTCACATCCATTTGAGTTGCAAACACAATTTCCCAAATCAACATGACCGAAAAAATCTGAAAGTCCATAAGTCGATAAGCTGCCACTTTCTTTTCCCGCCAGAAGATCTCTTGAGAAGCGCCACTCGAATTGGCTCGAATGAAGTTTCCAAGCGAATTCTGTTCGGGCTGCAGATTGAGGTCAAACTGTTTAGGGTCTGTGAGTTTGACGCCAGCGGCAATACCCAATGAAGCGAAGAGCTGCACCCACCACAATGCCTGACCCAAATAGGCACATCACACTATGGATTGATGGACTAAACACGCCCAAGCGATACAGGAGGAAGGCCGATCCATAGACGCCCAAATTGGTGCAAACGGAGATCCAAGCCAGCTGGTTTGTTAGCCCAAGGCCATAGAAGATTGAATCCAAGAGGCCAGCAAACATATAGACAAAATAGAATGGTAGAAGCCAGTTGGCGATTTCCAGTGCCATCTGCGGCTTTTCCACATTCAAAACCACTTGAAAGAAGACTTTCCACCCAGGCAGTGTCACCAGCCAGACAACAAAAAGCAGCAGTGAGAGCAGCAAGTACGCTGGTAAGATCTGTTTATGTGCTGCCGGCAACCTGGCCCGAATTGAAACCTCTTGTTTCAGCAGTTCAGCCAAGGGCAGAAATAGTAGCAGGAGCCAGTTCCAAATGAAGCTATTGGCTATCCAATAGTTGCCAGACTGGTGCAAGACATTCACCATTCTGGCCACAAAAATCACATAGCTCAGATTTCGAATCAGGGATGCAAGCGCGGCCCAGCGGCCCACCCGCCACCACGAAAGAAGCCATGTCCAAGTTAAAGACTCCTGTTCTGCTGCAGGAAGGTATTGGTAGGCCAGCATCAAAAGAAGTGCGTAGGTGCCTCGGGCAATGACAACCCGCATCAGATGCACACTCCCGTACCCAGAAAGCGCAACGGCAAATATATGTCCTATGTTAATTAATGCCTATACTATCGTGCCAACCGAAACCCTCAAAAAAAAAAGTGGTGACAGGATTGGCCCAAGAGGCCCCACAAATCAAGAACGCTCACCACTTGGGACATCTTGGGACATCTTGGGACTGTATTTCTGATGTCTTCCACAACAAACGTGCCAGGATATGCCAGGATACAAATGTTGGACCAGGCCACTCCGATGACTCCAACACGGAGTGAGCCAGGCAGATCACTAACAAAGATATAATCGAAGAACACGGTCAGCAGGGCTTGCAAGAGGGTCATCAACAAAATCACTTTGTCACGCTTCAGCAGTACGAAAATCACATGGGTGAAGCGCTCTAAGCCCTGAATCACTGCAGCGACCATCTCCCAGCGGATGTATTTCACTGTATCATCCCGCAGGTCGTGCCGAGAAGCCTCAATCTTAGACTCTGGAAGTTGCAGTGACGCTTCAAGCACTTACTGTCTTCGGTTCATCATCAACTATGACAGTTCTGATGGTGCGTCTGCTACTTTGAATCTGCTTTCTTGCGTTACAATAAAAGAGGCCGGCACCATGCCATCAACCAAAGGTTCGGCAAACACCATGACAATAGTGGAGAAGCTGCCATAAAAAACCAAAGTCACCAAGAGCCCTGTTCGCACCTCATGATGGACAGGAGTCAATGCACTTAGCACATGACTTGGGAAACCCCTAGCACTACTTCCTCGAATCACCAAAAATGAATAAAATAAAAACACGGTTTCATGCTTGTCCAATGTCGTATTATGCTCGCAACAAGCAACTCTTTCTGCCGAGCTCAAGACCTTGTTCCAGGTGGCAACGCCTTGACCGATTGTTTCCTTGGCACACGCAACCTTCACATCAGTTCCTCTGATTCCTCTGCACTGACTTCAAAACGCTTCAAAACAAACTCTGACTTCAAGTCATCTAAGGCTTCTAAGGCTTCTAAGGCTTCTAAGGCTCTCCAATACAGGGATACAAAGGAACCTGAGCCACCGCAGCTCAGGGCGGACCACCAAAACTGGGCCCTAAACTCCACGACTGCTGCTCTGTTTCGGTTCATCAACCCAACGAGCTGACAAGAAGCAATCAATGCCTCCTCCATGACCTTCAAAATATGGGGATCGGCAGTCATTGGGATGTTCATCAAGTTGGGATAAAACCGAATCAGCGAACTGCTGCTGAGTATCATGCTTGTCATCGAGTCATAAAACCCCGAACCCCCTTGAAGGCTGCTTTCTGACATGGCACTGAACCAGCCGTGTCCTGCCTGCAGAATCGTGCCCACCCAGAGAAGCTGCGAGGCAATATCCACACCGCTGGCCTGCAATGCGCCCTTTGAAACAAGTTTAGCAAAGCGCTTGAAGGAAAATGTATTTTACCAGGTCAGCCAACAATATAGTACAATTACTATATGGGGGCGCAACAAACCGGTAAGCACTCAGCTCTTTTGAACCAACGCTACAGAGTAGATCGATGATATATACACTACATGGTTTTACTGCAGGAGTTTTTACACCCCCCTCGGGCGAGCAGGGACGACTGCGGAGAACGAATAACCCAGAAGAGCATACCCTCGCGGGTAGCCAAATTTCTTTAGTTGGTTTTGATCATTTTTATGCAGTCTTTCAAAGGTCCCTATAAAAAGCTCAAGCCCGTAAAACCCAGCGCAGCTTTGCAAGGAAGGCACATTACCATGCCGCATCTTGCGCTATGCTACAAAAGAAAATCATCGTCTACCTGCGGTTCCAATAGATCCACCGGCCGCCGGCCTCGTCACGGTAATACCAAGCCCCACGCCAGAAACTCCATTCTCGGCGTGCACCATAGTGATCACGATTCCAACTCCAGGAGGCATCCGGGCGACCGGAGCTTGCAGCCTTTGATGTGACTCCTTTGCTTGCTGCTTTTGCAGTGGGCGGTGTCTCAGGCTCCAAGAATGGTCGCGCTCCTGCTTTGGGTGTTGGTGGTTCAGGTGCAAGAAATGGTGCATTGTTGGGGTCAGCTGGGGCATCAGCGTGCGAGGCATCTGCGCGAGCAGAGCTTGAGGCGGCAGTGTCATCATGTGTGGTGACGGATGCATCAGCTTCGGCTTTGCGTTTTCGCTCAGTGGTGGGCGCGACCGTGGGGTCGGCCTTATGACCTCCAGGACCTCCAGCCTTTGCAGCGGCGCTCTGCTTCTCTTTGCGTTCAAGGTTTCCCCGAACCAATGGAAGATTTTCCTCATACACCTTTTCGAGGAATTCAAGAGTGCCATCAAAAGGAACTTGGACGGTGCCCTTCCAGGTCAAAAGGCCACGGAATGCGCCACGGCGACCGATGTAGCTGACATATTCATCCTCTGTAAAAATGTGGCGGCCGAACATGAATCCCCAGACCTTCTTCCATGTTTTGCGGAACTCAACTGGGAAACCATCAACACCTCGAGGCTGGGACATGAAAATCAACTTAGATAAGCAGTTTTCATTTTGGGCATTGGCGGCGACGCCAGCCGAGATCTGAGCTTTGGTCCTTGGGGGATCGGGGAGGTTGCCATATGCGAACATGTCGTCAAATATGCAGTCCTGCAGGTCCTTCCCCTCACCGTGGATGCGGTCGCAAAAAGTGACGTCGCTGGAGTATCTGTCTTCCACGTCCTCGTAGCCCAGCGCTTTTGCACGTCGATGCCTGTCGCGGCAGTCTTTGAGGACTGCTGATTCCACGGATGTGATTCCCCTGGGGCCCAGTTCCCGGCGAAGCAGATTGGCTTGCTCATCCGTCAAGGCTGTCAGCAAGCTTCCGCTCATTTTCCCAAACATTCCGAACCCGGCGAGACTTTGCATTCACCGTTCAAGGATGCGTGTCCTCCTGTTGGGTTTGTCGGCCTCTTTTGTATCGCCACTTTCGTCCACTGGGAGTGGTTCATATCCACATGTGGTGCATGTCACTTGGCCACTGACGTACTCAACCTGGCAGAGGGGGCAGGAGCCCATGAAAGGTTCGCAGTACTTGGGTGCAATGTAAACACGGCGCGTCCTTGCGGGCGGCTGGTCAACTTGCATTGGGGCAGTGGCTGCATCATCATCGGTGGACTTGGCATCGGGTCGCCCCGTGCTGGTGTCATCCATTGGGTCGTCATTTGCATCATCTCGGGCAGTCAGGGTGACCGCTTTGGATTTCGGTGCTGAGGCTGATTCCGCGCCTGTCCATGAGCTGGGCTCGAGATTGCTCTCGGCGCGGGTCCAAAGCACCTGTCCTTCTTCTGAGATGCTAACCAGAAACTGCGGTGGAATGCGTTCTGAACACAAAATACCATCCATTTCTGTGCGACTAAAGATGACACCAGCTTCAACTGCTTGCCGCATTGCGATTTTGACTTCGATTGGACATTTTGCTCTTAATCCAGATCGATACCCCTGTGTGCCGATACAGTGTTCTGCCATGTAGATATGAGCACGGCCACTGTTGACTGTGTCACCGCCACCTGGGATCAGGCCGTTCTGTGCGATGCTCTTCCAGCTGCTTCTCATCGTGCGATGGAAGACAACCTCAGGGACCTCAGTCATGGCACACAGGGGCACGCCAGTGAAGGCGGCTTTTCGCTCAGGGGATACTTGGTTTGAGCAATACACCATGGTTGAATTGGCATAAAGACCCCCTGCGGTTTTCAAGGCAGCTTCGGAGTGACCCTGAATTGCACGGATTTTCACAGGATAATACGGCATGCCTAGGCCATTGTCGACAGGAAAA